CATGTATTACCTATTGTTTCAATTACTGTTGAAAAGTGAGAAAATTATATGTTTATATTTAAATGATAACTCTTTGACTACCCCACCCCTGCACCAATTTATTTCAGTGCAACTGACAGGACAAAAACAGTCACAATGTGTGAATGTTAAGTTACATCTTAACCATGCACCTACCCCGACTACATACATGCTTTTTCAAGAAAATTTTGAGTTCCCAATAATACTGCTTGTGACTTTGCATAGATAATTGTTTTTTTGTCCATTCATAAAGATGATTATTATTTTGTCTGTGTATATCAGTATCTCCTGACTCTTTATCCTTTAGCTTCCCTCTGGTCTGATCATATTTGTTTTCTTCTCTCCTTTTCCTGCATTGCTTCCAGCCTCCAACTAGGCCCTCACTCTTTCTTTCTCCAGTGTCCCAGAACATTTCCCTCATATCTGTCCCTACTGTACCTCTTCTTTCTTTTCTGACTAATACTAGTTGAAATCTCAGAAGAATTGCATTATTTATTCAGTTTCAAACTTTTGTATTTTACTTTCTAAATGGGGGAAACAATTGAATGGCAATACTGATGTATGTCAAAACACTGCATATGATTCAATTAACATGTACAATAGTATGTTATTTCCATATAAGTGACACAGGTGACAATTTCAGAATGGTTTTAGCCCATTACTACATTAACCTCTGCAATCTGGATGATGTGACCATCACATCATGAAAAAATTTGCTTGAGGGACAGGTGACAGGAAAATAGTCTATTATCATCTGGGTAACGGAAATCAAATAACAAATATAAATAACTAAAAAGCGTTTGCAGAAGAAAAATAAACTACAATTGCATATGGGAAGCATGGAGTCTTGTTTCTGCATACGAGTATTTGTGACCCTGGCCAACCCGTCAAAAGGGCCACTCAGTAAGCATAAAGACTGTATTTTGGGCCACGTGTGGGGAGTAAAGCCTCCGGATCCAAGGAGTTAAAATCATTGGGGCTTGTTGACAAAAGGGCAAGACTCATTGCCCTTAATAGAGGTATAAAATCTTTATTACTGGTCATGATACGCCTGGAGTATATTGGGGAGAGAAACAGTCCATCCCTCAGGGTTTCCTAGAGGGATAAGGGCTTGACAACTAAAAGGGAATGTCATACCCATGGCTCCCCAAGACTGTTCTTGACTGGCACAAAGTCAACTTTTCATCCTTTCATCATGGCTCTCACACTTTAGAAAGTGCATCATAGAAGAGGTTAGAGATGAGAATGAAAGAGGAAAGGGAAGAAGAGAAGACCATGCAAAAGTAGAATGATATGCTCAGGCTCCTATTCCTGCATGCTACAACCAGTGGTATGGGGTGTTACAGAAAAGTGAATCAAAGAAAAAAAAAAAAAAGGCAAATAAGTGTTACTTATTGTTGTTATTCCACAGAGTTTCAAAGTATCTAGAGAGATAATATGGAGTCTGCTCAGTGAAAAGTATATTACCATCTTGATACAGCACTACAAATGACAAAAATAGACCTTGAAAAATGGGGAGGGGGGGACGCAAATGCAGATTAACACATGATAACGTTGCAAAGGGGAAGCAAGTAATTTTAATACCACACTAGTGTTTGTGTAGGTTAGACCTATAAGCCACACACCCTGGAGACTTATCCCTCAAATAAGCCTCATGCCCAGATTTTGGTCCACATGTGAGGTCCTGGGTATCTGGATCTAACAGGTTCATATCAGCATTTGTGATTTTGTGATTTTAAGACCTAGAGTGTCGTATGGCAAGCAGACTGTGTTCTCACATAAAATTTGGTATAGAGCATAGGAGGTGTATGTTTATAAGTGCTGCTGGCTGTACACAGTCTCAACAATCACATAGCCCCTTATGTGATGCACATTTTTTGCTACATATTGGCAGTTTACTTGAGTCTACTGCCCCCACAGAATGTTGTATCAAATGAATTTAACCCACTTGCGATGGGTGTCACACATATGTGACACCCAGAAAAATAAACATTGCTGCCCGTCCCACCAGTGCAATGCTAGATTGGGGCATGTGCTCCGATTTTGTAGCCTGTGGCGGATGCGCGCACGCCGGTTTCCGGACTGGCCCGCGTACCAATTTTGATACCATCCAGAAACCATGATTATCAGCTTCCAAATAGACCATCGCTAGAGGGTTAAGAAATATAACAAGAAAACATTTCTATGGGTTTATTTAGGAATACAGTAGTTTTATGTTTTTTTTTATGTTGCATCCAAATGTATGCAAGATCTATGTTTTTTCTATGTTTTAGAAATTCGTCTTTCATGGATCAACAAACAGGCATTTATCAAGATTTGCACATCGTGCCATCATACTAAAATTTGTAATATTTCAAAGAAAGAATATGAAAGTGATTGTAAAACTTTTGTTTATTCCAGATTAGTAGAAGGGCATTTACAAGATTTCAACACATTAGCATCATATCTACAAAAGTTCAGTGATGAGCAGTTTTTGGAAGCAGTGTCTGACTTTCATGTACTAATATTTATTGCTACAATGGACATGTTACCACTCAGAGTAAGTTCTATATATGTTTATTACACTCATGTCAAACCAAATCTGTACTTTTTAAAATTTTATTGTTGTGTATGATACTTTTATTTGTTATTTACCATCTCTCTAAATGCTTTCAGGAATATATAGGCCCATTACTAGAAGCAGTGAAAAAGCGTGATCGAGCGCAAGCATTGGAATGGAAACAGTCTGAACATTGGGCAACTGTGGAACAGTTGGTGATGGCATCAGGTGGTGGAGCAGCAGTGCTAGGGGCTGGTGGAGAAGCTGCAGCTGCAGGTTCTAGTGCTCAGTCATCATCTTCCTCTACCTCTTGGACTTGCCAACACTGCACATTTATCAATCAAACAGCTAGTGAAAACTGTGAGATGTGTCACTTACCACGGTGAATTGACATTCAGTAACATAGTTGCGTCTAAATTGATACTGATATTCAGTGTCATTGTTTAGCTGAAAACAAATTTCTGATTGATTTCTTTATGGTGAAAGAAGCTCACATTAATATCAGCTTCCATACAAGCTGAACATTGCCAGCTGGAATTGTTACTTACATTTTCATGAAAATTGCTTGGATGTTGCCAAGCATTGTAGTAAGTCCTCAGTGGAGGATACTTAAATTTTTACAAAAACTTGGTTGTAAATTGTTTAAGCCCTCTTCAGTGTAAAATGTTCAGCTCAGTTTAATGTTCTCACACAAGAACGAGGTATAACTTACATTTTTAAAAGCTTGACACATAAATATGAAAGATAAGAAGATTGAGAGAGAGAGAGGGGGGGGGGGTTGGAAACAAGTAAAGATGCATGCAAATGTACATCATGGATGACTAAGCTATACACAAAGCATCTGTCCCTACTTTCAATAATAGTGATTTTTATCCTTTTTATACTTTTTTCATGAAGCGTAATGTTAAAAAGAAGTTTGTGAGTTTCAATAGTGTGTAACTACTGATTGAAATAAAGATGAATGTATAGCATTTCTGTATTGTGTTAACTAGTATAAGAGAGCTGTACAGACAAGTTTCTCAACCTCTTAAAATCCGCTGGACTGGCATTTGACTGTTCAGTACCCTTGGTTATATTAGTGATGTGTGTAAGTTATTTGTATCATAATTAAGGGATATTTTGCAATTTGAAATTAGAGGTGAATATTTTTTATTACATCTTATTCTTTTCAAAGTGGTACACATGTGGACATAAACATTTGGAAGCCTTTATCCTCTTCTCTATTACCATTATTTTCAGGTACATTAATATTTATATAACAAAGAAAAAAGAGTCCCACTGTGCTAAGGCTTTATAGGAGAGCAGTGCAAAGTAATATGAAAATCAGATTGTGAAGTTAAATTGTTTAACTAGTTATTTTTTAACTTTAACATGTTAAAATTTTAATGGAATGAAGTAGCTAAATCTTGTGTGATTTTTTTTTTTTTTTTCATATTGTTTTGTTTGTTTTTTGTATTTAATTTCCTTTTTTGTGTGTCATTTTATATGTCAGAACATTTACATATAACCCGGTTATTATTGTCGATTAACACATTCACCAAAATAGATACTTTTTTGTGTGTTATACAGTTTTAGAATTTTTACTTGTTTCTGTTTTTTTTTTTTTTTTTTTTCCCAGTAGATCTCCCAGTTACTAGCATTTTTCTTTTTGCTCATTCACAGCATTGAGTCTTTGGATAATTCAGCCACAGATCATTTGCAAGGCCATCCACAATTTTGTACCCAAAAGTATTTGATTGGATAAAAGGGAACCTTTATTACAATCATTGGAAAAGTGTAGGATTTTGGACAGTATCTAAAAATTTTGGTAGTTGAGGTACTAAAAGATCAGGACACATTTCTTTATTTTACCTCATTGCAGAATGCATTATATGAGGATGACCATACTGTGTTGGCACCTGTTTTGGAAAAAAAAAAAATAATAAAAAAAATATATATATAATAAAAAAAAATACCAGCTGAAAAACAGTGGAGTGACACTCTTTATGTGAGCCTTTGCTGATGCTACTTTTTGCACCTGCTGTTGCTAGCTTGTACAGGACCCATTGTGGTTAGGTAGCTTATTAATAAAATTATTTCAAGTTTGACCTATTTGTTAACCTAATGTGTGCGGGCTTTTTCGGCATCCACTTGGGCCGCCAAAACGGGGTTTATCTGTATGAACTGGGCGACTGCGCTGGGATATTTCTCTTGTGCTCACCTCAGCGACTCGCATCCCAGCCGCTCGCCGAAATTTGACAGGCATGATTGCTCTGACATCAATTTTTGAAATTTGTGTTTTTACATTTTCAAATACTCACTGTTGCCAACATTTTGACTTTACCAAAGTAATATCCAATTGAAGTAATATTGAATACTCCATATTAGCTGATCATTGTGTTTTTTTGACCATGAATAGAAGAATCAATATTGTAGGGGACATAAAATTAGTAATTTTTCATTATTTTCAATTTCTTAAAATGAACTTTACGAGTGATATTATTCCTTATGTAGTGAATGCCACATACATGAAGAAATCAACATGTAACGTAAACCTAAGTTCGTAAAATGAGGTTTATTTGCACTAGGAAGTACCTTTCTGTGGTAATTTCGAAACCTTCATAAACCTATAACTACCTTACAGTTTGAAAATGGAAAAAAAAATCTATGCCCACATCAATTAAATAAATATATTATTTAATTAAATTTAATTAAACATTAATTAAATATATTGATTAAATTAAATATACATCGATTAACACCCTGAGGCAAAGTTCATACACGCACACACACACACACACATATCTCACACACGCACATGCACACACGCACGCACGCATGCACACACAGAGATGGGGAAGAGAGAGAGAGATATTTAAAGAAAGAGAAAGCGAAAGATGAGAGAGAATAGCGAAAAATGTTTTAAAAAAATTTACGATATAACATCTATGCCACATCTCTTGTTTTTGCGGGTTTTCAACCTTTATCCTCAATTCGTTCCCATGTAATTGATTCCACCCGCAAACTGAGTCCAGACAGCCATGGCTTCATAGTATATGTCACCCGTGATCAAGGTTAAATCCTCTATATCAATTTAATTACTTTTTATCTTGTGTTAAAGAATATGAAAAAGATTCCCAGTCTAACAATGAGTATATAAAATTTTAGGTAATTGTCTTTATTCTATTCACTTTCTCATTTGTCTGAAAGAGACGGGGCATATTGTATAATATATAGTATTTTAAGTAACCTCAGCTCAGTGAACTTTTACTGGTAAGGTAATTGTAAATGCAAACACCAAAAAGCAAACTACAATTTATTAAGAATATAAAATTGATTATTACAATTATAATGCCGATAGAAAAAAATGCTAAAATTTTTATTACAATTCTTTTTATTACCAAGTCACTTAATCTGTTTAATAGTTTTATATCTATATGAAAATTAAATTCTTACAAGTTTTTTTTTCTCTTACTGCCATCAGTAATGCACATGTACATTCCTCTATGATTATAAGTAGAAGTAGAACCATTAGTTAACATGAACCTTGATTCTTTACATTTTACACATAATTACCACCAGTAGACAAAACATCAATTACAACCTATTCCTGTTTTCAACAAATTTGTGAAGTATCAATTTCATAGTCACGGATTGTATAATTGCAGCACATGCAAGTAGATATGGAAAAGCAAATATAATTTACTGGTACTCGGATAAAAAAAAATAATAATAATAAAAAATAAAATAAATAAATAAATAATGATTTAAAAATACATAAAGGAAAAAAAACTCAGTTTTATCAACCATTCATTAACATGAAGAAAGAAGCACTGAAATATAAATGTGAATAAGCTGGTAAATTTGCTATACTCATATGTCATACAAGAGAAAAATTAAAAGCACTGGAAACCTTATTAACTCTGCATTCTATGTTTTAGACTGTAGCACACATGATATTTCAGGAAAATATGCTACTCCTTAATTACCATACTCATGATCAAGCAAGTGAATAGCTTTTTAGCTGGTTGATTGCACAAGCATTTGTCTTAACCATTTAGCAATCTGGCTCAGGTCACCATAGCAAGAATGGCTGTTAACTGTGTTGAATGGTCTGGCAATGTAGTTTTTAAAAAAATTAAGCTACACAGCTAGCAATGTAGTTTTTAAGAAAATTAAGCTACACAGCAAATTGCAAGTTTATAGCACACTGGGAAGGATTATGCAATCAGATTGCCAGAACTTTGTGTATTTCATTTCTTACAATAAAATCATACCCATTCAGGAATTGTACAAATTTATTTATTGGATTTTTTCTTGTGTGTTAATATCTAAAACCATAGCAGCATATTCAAAATCTAGCAATAGGATGAGGCTTGGGGGCAAAGCCCCTGGTAAGGAAGTTTTCCTTTTTTTTTTTTTTTTTTTTTTTTTTTTTTTTGGGGGGGGGGGTCACATATTTAGCATTTAGATTATAGATTTTTTTAAATTTTAGAGTATTTTTTAAAATATTCATCTGAAATTCATCTGTAATGTAACATTTCCTCACCTTTGTGTAACATATACATAACATGTACATATTATACCACAATTTATATAATAATTATATCAATCACTTCAGGCATGAATATTTATCTGTAATACTTTTTGCTTACCATCTCATTATGTGTGACCAGTCTTGTGGTACTCTGATTATGAGTATGATTACTACAATCAGTTTGTTAAACAACTTCACTTTGTGAGAACTATGCCTAGAAATTTATGTTAATGGAGATTTCAAATTGCAAGCCACAGTTACTGGTCNCCTCACTGGACAATAATAGACTTCCGTGATCCTCGAATTTGTTTATGTTTAAGCCCGGACTCATTGCCGCGTTCGCTGCTCTTTCAGTTGTTGCATATCATAAAACCTATACATTTTACAATTGCAAGGTTTTTAGCTTGAATTTTTCACTTAATCTTCATTCCGCTCCCATGCCTATAGACATAAAACATTCGTTTCCGTTTGCGCGAATAGTACTCTGTTGTCCTTTCCGTTTTTTTAATCAAAAACTTCGTGTAACCTCTTTCGCCACAAATTATGACTCATAATATATATTAGTTGTGATTACAGTGTGTGTTGCTAATGTGTGTTTTGTTGTGTGTCTTTTCCGAGGTAAATTGTGGGTGAGTGAAGTCATGTTGACCGTGCGCGTGTGTTGTCTGTGTGTCCCTGATTTGTCGAAGAAGTTGATACTAGGTTCAAATTTTACCTCATTAATTCCATAAGAGGATGGAAAAAAAAGCTATTCAATGTAAATCCTCTTATAAATAATTTTTTAACATATATACTATATTTTTTCTTAACATAATAATAAATAATAAAATATGTATGGTATATTATATTTATACATATTCAAATTCAATTACATAATTATTATTTTTAATACTAGTAATATAAAACATAGCTATCACATCCACGATAACAGTATAAATATAATATTCATTAAATGTATAATTCTACATACTTGTGTAAGTTTTTTCTAAATCTCTCTCGCAACACAAGGCCCTTCTATACGCTCTCGTCCCTTTCGCCCTATAAAGTTTTCTCTATCTCCTTTATTTATTCTCTCACTCTTCCTCCTCTTGCTTTCGTCTTTCGTAAGTCCTCCAATTCATTTGAACTTCAGCGCCTCTAATTTCTATTCCTACCTCTGCGAATCTATACTATTCAAAATTAGTAAGTATTCTTATATAGTTCCTAATTAAACCATTCTAACAAACAACCCCTGCGAAGAGCCTTTATTAATTCCAAAACTAGACTCACATATCGTCCACTTATTATTATCCACAATTCTTGTCGTAAATCCATCCACACTTGTCAGCTACGGTCCCACTGTTGTCTATAATATATCACACGTACTTCTATAGTTATCTCATATAATCTTTACTTGAGCTCACATATAAAAAACGAAAACAACAGTACACGCCCCGTGATTCACCAATTTTGTCGTATCATCTAAAACATCACAACCATCGTTCATACTTGAAAGTAAAAGCGATACGTCTACTGAATCTATTCTCATGCTTATCCACAGCCTCCGCGTTTCAATGTCTTTTTCCCTCGTCGTTCTCTTCTCTAGCAGTCCTGTTAGCACTCCAGTCTTTCTGTGAAATTAGATAATCTATCACTCTCGTCTCCCTTTCAAAAAAATGTCTTCACATATATCTCTACCTTTACCAATATTGTTGTTCAATCTTCTCTGACCACTCTCTAACGCTAAGAGCTTTCTGGGTTAAACTACATTTCTTCGAATGTCTGACTTCTATGAATCTAGCATTATTGAATATGAACTTTCTTTTGTTCCGTTGATGTTATTTAATACTTTTGTTCTAGGCTTACATTTAAACGAATCTCACCTCACACCATATGATCGATCTGAGATCTTACACAGGTGTGTTGAGCGAGTCAGGCAATCGTAATAGGTCACACTACATATAATTTTTCCAAGATTGGAGTTCCACTATAGATGGTTGTGTTGAATCAAATCACACAGCTCAATCAGAGCGTATTGACATGCTATAAAAATCACTCTACCATCCTCGATACGAAACTGTATCTAACTGTGCTTAGTTGTTTGAGCGGCTGCTGGAGCAATCATACTTGTTAATCATTAGGTATACTGATAGGTCTGTCCAATAATAATCTTATAGTAAGATCTGATCTCATATATAAGATTTTTCTGAGTAGAATAGAGATATATATATAACTGTTGTTGATTAATTCTAGTTCTTCCTTTAGTGTATTTTGTTTCTAATCTTGTTATAAATTCTTCTGATTATAATACCTTAGTATTTCTTGTATTAGATCTCTATTGTTTAGATATTCCTTGTTGCCTGTAGGTTGTATCTTCTGAACGTATTCTGATTTGGGTACTCATAGTTAAAAATCATAACATCATCTATAAAGTCCTTTCATTAAATAAATTCAATACTCATACTACATAGACCTTATTCAAGTAAGTGGAGTTACTATAACAGCCATGCTTTTTTCTTGATTGAGTATTGTACGTAAGATTGCTATTCTCTTCTTAGATATCTCGTCATCTGTCCTCTCAAAATTCTAATGGCTTTCCTACTTACTCTTGATTTATGCTAGTTTGGATTATATGAGAATTAATTGTAAGTAGGACTACTATTTCATAAATGCTTACATGAGTAAGTTAGTCTTTGGAATAATGAAAGTAGAAAATATATAATTAATTACTCAATCAAATTCCAGTATTCTGGATATATTATATATTAATTTAATATAATCAATTTATAGATATTTAATTAAATATATCTCGTGTTGCTGCCCGACAAATAGGCGAAAGTAGTTACAGCTGTATGATTTGGGTTATGTATTATGTTTATTTGTGATACTCACCGTTTGATAGTAGATGAGAACTCTTGTGTTTTTAATGTTAGAAATGTTCCTTGATGTTAGCGATCTAGTGAAAGATGTGTTAGTGATCATGGTCTGCTGTGTCTGCATTCGATTCATATGATGTGATGATGTGATGTGTAGTGCAGCTGTTGGCTAGGCTATTGTAGTTTTGTTGTTGCTTGTCATTAGTTGTATTTGTTTGGCACGAATTCGTCAGCCATTTTCTGATGTTATCTGATCCTATAAAAAACGTCTTCTATATAGTTAAAATGTATTCACTTAATACATTTTTATCATCATAACGTCTATCATTCAGTATATTTTACAATATATATGTTGAAAGTATACATGCGAAGCTATCAATTATATCGTGGATACATTCATACTATATAATTGATATTTACAATATTAAATTAATGAAATTATAAATATCAAAAAATATCAATAATAATATATATGTCATAACCTGTATGTTGTGTGATGATGGGATGTGTTGTGTTGTGAATACAACTTATAGTAGATATATATGTTTATATATATATATATAGATATAAACTTATATACTATATACTTATATTATAATATATATTATAAAGCAATTTGCATTATCATCATCTATTTTTTGCTATTGATATCACCATCGTGTATGGGCTGCTGTGATTATAGTTTACTAGTTCATTTACCTATAATTATTATTATTCTATCAATGTCTTTACAATATCAATATAATATTATTGTGTCTTTGTCTCTTTATATAAGCAATTTTTTATTTATAACCATTTATTATTTGTATATAATTAGTGCATTATTAGTTGCTCATTTTATTTTTATAATTTTTAAACAGGAGTTTTTTAGATTTGTTTCTCTGTTACCCCGATTATATTTTATAGTTAACTGTTTTGGTAATGTGTTGATTTCTAATAGCTGTTCAGTTAAGCACATATACATTTTATATTCTCTCCTTTGAGATTAGTAACGACGGATAAAGATAATGGGGTACTCGTCTATAGAAACACCCAACGATCTAAACTTCATGTCTAGCCTGCGTTTTCTTGAGATAGCAAAATCAAGAAAAGACGATGAATCTTTTTCTATTTGGACAAGAAGACTTGTACATCCAGAAGAAGAATCTTTTTCTATTTGGACAAGAAGACTTGTACATCCAGAAGAAGAAGAATTGAAAATAAAAGGATATAATATTATTGCCCAGGCAAGAGGTTTCCTTACTAGAAATGAATCTAGCGACTATCAATCTACAAAAACGGAAAATCCGGAAATTAGATATTTTACAAGTGCTTGGGATTATGATACGTCTGACGACATTGTATTCAAGAAAAATGGAAGTGTGAGCAAGATCCGCGCTGTAAAATTTACACGAAGCGGC